ACTCTTGTTTTACTTTTGTAATTTGTGTTCGGCAGTTACTGGATAAAATACAGCTTTTTCTCTTCAAGATTTTGCCTTCCAGCTTGGTCCTACAGAAGGGCCATTGGACTCATGTGCCTCCTCCTTTTTTAAAATATCTACCAGCATAGATTTCTTTCGGGATTTGAAATTCAGTTTTGAGGTTGCATGGTTAGTTTTATAATCAGACAGCTGGTTCTATTTTGCCATGTTTGCTGTCTATAATGCTGCTTTCCATCCGTATCATCTTTTGGACAGATGCACTGCACATGATGTTGGCATCTCTGGGATATCACTTAGATCAATCTCTATGGAAATAACTCAAATGAGTCTCACTGTACACATTTTTTTCAGTACAACACACTGTTTGTTTTCTGCTGTGCATTCAAGGGTATTCGATCTTCTGCGTTACATGTATTTCTATAATATTTAGCCTATCATCTCTTCAAGCCCTTTTATAGTAATTTTAGTAACAAGCACATTCTAATAGTTTACTTCTAAAATGTATCTTTTAACACAACTGTGTAAAAAGACTGGTATACAGAAAAACAATTTTAAATAGTTATCTAAAACATAAACAGCAATATGTAAACTATAAAAACAGCCATCACTTCTTAGTAAAAATACTTACCGATTTACCAAACATGGTAATAATAAAAAAACATATATACTTATACCTACATAGAGATCTCTACATCTAAGTTTTGGAGTGTTAAATAAAAATCCTCCATCCATTCCTATATTACATAATCATTTCTGATCAAATGGCTAACTCATAATTTACACTGTCATGTCAGGCTAAAATCCACTAGCCTTCATCCTCTTGCCCCTGACCTTCTGTGGTCATTCACATAGTGGATGAAACTGGCATCATTTTAAATTAACTTAGGCTTTCCTTTTTACAGATATAAATGAGCACAATTTGCCCGGCAGAGGAGAAGCCAAAACACTATGCAATTGTGATGACAGACTGTCACTCATTTCATCCAGAACATAGTAGTAGCGGTTCCCTTGACACTCTGAAGGCACTGTCCCTTCAGAGCTGCAGTTCCTGGGTGCACACCACCACACTATAGCATTAATGCTATCTGCCTACAATAAACCCAAGCAGAATGTCGGGAAGCAGTTATGAAGGCAGAAGAGCATACTTATTTGCAAAATGCTTTATCACTGTCTGTGATATATGGCATGGCATAGACTATTTGACTGGCTGTCACATAAGCAAAGCTCCTGTTCAGATCTTTTTACTTTTATAACCTCACAACGCCCTTAACGAGTTCCAACGCTCAGCATTCAATGCCAGTTCCAAGGGATGACTCAAATCCTGCAGGGCCAGAGCTCAATCACTTGACCCAAGTTTTAGAAGACTTAGAAACATTTACATTCAGACAAGAAAGAGTATCTGGAAAAAATAGTTAATATTTGGAGTCTGAGAACAAGGTAGACTGTCAGGAAGGCAGAGTCCTTATTATCAGCCATAGATAGTGTGTCTATCCAACATCCCCAAAGGCCGTAGAATCAGTCACCAAAACAGTTTTTTGTTTGTATTTTGATGTCAATGTACAAGAGAGAATAAATGTAATGCAGTGAACCAGATGAATCTGAAAAAAATGAATGAAACACAACACAACAGTCACTTTCTGAAATGATTTTACTGAATGGAGGTAACTGAAAACTGTTATACATTAATGACATTACTTAATCAAATGAAATTTCAAGAAGTTTTACAGCTTGCCTAAGACATTATAATCTTAAAGGTAACTTTTAGACTGCTAAACTCCAAAGAAACTGGAGTTGATACTCATCTTGTTTTGTCCTCTATGATGAGAAGATCTGGGAAATACAAATGTAGAAACAGCTATAGTTTGAACTCTCCAGTCCTCTCTCTGACAGCAACTAGCAGAGGATGCTTAGGGAAAGTTTAGTAAAATGGGGAAACTATATACTGACACTTCACCTAGTGTATCATTTTAGCTACTTGCAGCCTAGAGACTCTGTAATATAGAACTTGTATCTTTGTGTTTAAGATGTTTCCATAGAGAAGTATTTGTCTAAATAAGTAGTTGTCTAACCACTCCTGAACCATTTTCAACCTCCATCATTTCTGACATCAATTTCTGACAAGGAATTCAACGGTTTAAAAGTGTTTTTGGGGGAAAAAAAAAAAAGTCTGTACTTCACAGTTGAAAAAATCTGAATGAGCTCTTAGAAATTTCTGTTATCTAGAGCTACACAGGATAGGGTGTTACAGCTCTTAAGGCAAATCTGTCTGCTTATGCATCAAAATATTTTTATGTCCCTTTCTCTTTCCAACAGATTCTCTTCACTGAGTAGCTTCTCCAAATCATTCTTTTGTCAGATAACAAGAAATTTGCTTTTAATCTTCCCATGTTTTTATTATCACTGAATTCTCTGGATTGGCTGTCACTATGCACACAGTACAGGATCTAGAAAACAGCTCATCAGTGAAGGACAGACGGCACAGTAGGGAAAACATGTCCACCTTGTCATGTAGTTCTTAGGGTTAGCTGGAATGGCATGTAGACACACCCACACAGAGTTTTCTGAAATTCTGTGAACTGTCCATAACATGACAGATTACTGCAACACAATGCTTTACACTCAGAAAAGAGTTCTCTGCTAGATAAGAGGAGACTAAGACCCACCGTATTAATTTTGCCTCTAACTTAAAGAGTTTCTGAAAGTTTAGTGTATATTCTGGAGTGTGTGGACATGTAAAGAGCTAAACCATAAACAGATGTACATGGGTATGCATCAGCATTCAAGTGAAGGGAGCAAAGTGATCCTGGGCCAGTCCAAGAACAAATAACCAGTCAAGCCAATACTCTGCAGAACTATAGCTAAATGTCCATTAAACTGCACAGTTTGCTGAAAAAAGTTGTAGCCATACAAACCTCGTAAAAGTAAACCCTTTCTGAAAAAAATACATCTTTTGTAGGAAAGCATAATTTTTAAGAAGCAAGATGAAGCAAAAAAAAAGCAAATACAGAACCATTCGTGCTGAAAAATTCAAACATATGAAAAATTTTTTTTAGAGAGCTTAAATTTGTGAAGGCAGAAGAGAACATGAATCCAAAACTCAGGAGGAAGAGAACATTTTTCTCCCAGATCATTTTTTTATTACAGCGTCATACACTGAACTCAAGGAAACTGACAATCCAAGTAACACATATCAGAGAGATGACTGTTCAAAAAAAGTTTAAAAAGATGTATTCTTTGCTTGATTCATCCTGAAGTCTAGTAGCAAAACAATATAAGAAATACAGCTTTATTTTCTTCAAACTTATTTTTAATCACCAAGATCTGCTCTTTAAGGCAAACAACTTTAATAAGTCTTAAGCATGTCCTCATCCCTCTACAGAATGAGCTCCTGTGTCATATATCCCACCTAACAAACCTTTTTATATGTGCACACATGTTCTGTCCCTCGCTATAATTAAGCACATGACACATAACACAGCATGAGAGAAAAAACACGGTATCTTTCAGCAGTAACCTGACATGGATGCAACTGAATGAGCAGACAGCAAGATTTTTGAGTACTCCAAATTTCATCACATAAAAATAGAGAAAAAATAAATTTTTGTAAGTCCAACTGTTGTCAGAACCTTCTCTCTTCTACGATGGCTGACTCCCTAAATTGTTATGCCAACAATTGCTCTAGAAAGTTAAAACTGTAATTTTTTTAACTGTTTCCTGGCATTTGTGCAGCTAAACACACTGAAGACAGAGATACCCTCCTTCAGAGAATTTCTGATTTGTCTTTGATGTCTTCCTGTTATCAAATGAACAGCTGGGACAGAACCCTTAGAGAGACCCATTTGGAAATAGGAATTATGAGGTTCAGAAGAAAAATGTAAGTAACTACAAAGTCCTTCAATCACACTAAACTCTCCTCTTTCCTAACTTCACATCTACAACCCGAAGCACCTACTATTAAGTTGCTGAACATATCTGTAATTGTCCAGGACAGGCGACTGCCATGCAGTTTCTCTAAATAGACATTTATGCCCTTCTGACTGTGGAATTGGCTGAGGGAACCTATATAGTCAGAGTTAAGCATCTAACAACACAGTGGTGGCAAGAAGTGGCAGTATCCTTTCAAATAAAATCATCCCAGGAACTAGACTGTTCTAAGTGTAATCTGCAACAAAGAATCCCCCACTAAGGAAAGGTATCTGCTCTGGATGGGGTCACCTGTAACTTTGAAAGTTGGGCGGCAATAAACATCCAGGATCTCTGTAGTCTGTGGAAAGAATCTGGTGCCTGTGGAGGATGATTCACTGCACCCTAAGACAGGCTCAGACAGGCAAGATGGATCTTGTACTTTAGTTTTTCAGAACACCCATAGATGTAGCATACAGGCTATTTTGTTTTATTTAATGGTTGTTCCTTCTCTTCTGGAAAATGTTTCACTCAAAAGGGAATCATATTTTACCACTCAGACATCGAGTTAATTATATAAATACACTAGCAATTCTGATTTATTTTAAATCAACCACTATTTCTTTTTCTTAGTCATGAATGAGACAAAAATAAAACTGGATTATTTGAAAAACTGTATGAAATAAATACAAAAACATGTAAGCAAACAAAGAAACTAAGCTCAAATGGCACTCATGGAAAAACTTCTGTGATATTTGCCCTAGATTGATTTTTTTTTTCTCAAAGCCAATAAACAGTCTGTTGCATTTTATCAATGAAAGTTAAACATCAGGGTTTCAAATAAAATTATGTCCTATTCATACACAAAATTTTTCTGTTTTAAAATAACTGGTGTAAATGAAAATGGCAGGAATACATTCTCTCTGCATATGGAGCCAGCTTTTACCAAAAACTTTAAGTAACTAACAAAACCAACAAAAAAGGCTTGACAGAAAAAAAAAATCTGATTTGGCATCTCCAAAATACCTTAATTAGTTTTAATCACCTGAAAACCTGCAAAAACAGCTCATCCTCACCTGGGATCAGCAGTGCAAAACTCAAAATAATCATGGGCAGGTAGAGGATGTAGCTGTTCCTCTAGTTGCTCCTTAGTCAGACAAGGAGGAAGTCGTCGAATAACTACCTGTATATATGACAGAAAATGGAGATTTATCTTTGATCTATATACTGTAGAAAGAGACTAAACAAATCATATTATTCCACTTTAAAAGCTCTTCCTCGAATTGGGAACCTCAACCAGCGCATTAGCCTCCTACCTTCTTGGACTTGCTGACAGATGGAACAATTTCCTTATCTCAGCTGCTGCTAACATTGTAAAATTGTAGAGTAACTGAAATATTCTGATGAAGAGCTTGAGAACCACTGCAACTTAGCCAAGAAGATATTAACATCACAAATAACCATAAAAATAGATACTGACTATTCAGATTTTTTTACCCTATTAAATATTTTGCTTAAGCCAGATTTTAAGTCTTTTATTACAACATCTTAGTGTATTAGATTTATGTGTCCAGGTGCTGGCAGTGGGGGCTGCAGGGGTGGCCTCTGTGAGGAGAGGCTGGGGCTGTCCTGTGCTAGACAGGCGGCTTCAGCTGACCCACTACAGGGCAGAGCTGAGCCTCTCAGCTACGAGGGTGGCACCACTTGGAAAGTGTACTTAAGAAACAACCCAAAAAGCAGAGGATTGAGGGGAAAAAGGTGTGAGAAAGAGCCCTGCAGACACCAAGGTGAGAGAAGGAGCTCCAGGTGTTGGATCGGAGATTCCCATGGAGGAGTCCGTGGTGAAGCAGGTTGTCCTCCTGCAGCCCATGCAGGACCACGGTGGAGCAGATATCCACAATACAGCCAGTGGGGGACCCCATGCTGCAGCAGGTTGAGATGTCCTGAAGGGAGCTGCAGCCCGTGGAGAGCACATACAGGAGCAGGTTTACTGGCAGGACCTGCACCCCGTGGAGAGGGGACCACACTGGGGCAGGTTTATCCTGAAGGGCTTCAGCCCATGGGGAAAACCTACACTGCAGCAGTTCAGGAATAACTGCAGCATGTGGGAGGGACCCCCCGGAGCAGTTCATGAGGGACTGTATCACATGGCAGGGACCACACGCTGGAGGAAGAGCGTTAGGAGGATGGAGCAGCAGAGGAGCAGTTATGTTCTGTCCTTTCTGTTCGGGTCCCCATTCCCCATCCTCCTGCACTGCCTGGGGGCAGAGGAGGTAAAGCCTGGGCAGGAAAGGGGGAAGTCTGGAAGGTGTTTTAATCTTTGTTTCTCACCATTCTACTCTATTTTTTTTAATTAGCAATAAAGTAAATTATTTTTCTCCAAGCTGCATCTGTTATACCTGTGATGGCACTTTGCAAGTGATGTCTCTGTCTTTATCTCAACCCATGAGTACTTTCATCTTATTTTCCACCCCTGTTCTGCTGAGGAAGGAGTGAGAGGGCGTCTGCCCGGGGATCTGGAGCCACCCAAAGCCAATCCCCCACATTCAGGTAAACTGGCCAATAATAAAAGCCGTGAAACAATACGGACAGCTTTGGGGAAGAACGATGCCAGCACACAAAGCAGTAAAAATGGCCATCAAGCTTCAGGCAATCTATTTCCATTTCTTACCAGTATCTGAATTTAACCGAAGTTACAGTGATTTTCAGTGCTTCAGTTTTCCAATTTAGAAAATGGGAATAAATCATATCTCAACTTACTCTACATAAAAACTCTTTTTAAAAGTGCTCGAGTAAATCCAGGGGGAGAGAAGGGCTCTTGTCCTTGCAGGAGCTGCTTTACCACAGCAACCGCCAAACTCAATTAAGGGTGAAAAGGCAGGCGAATTTACAGCGCTGCTGCTGGGGCTCCCAAAACACTGACGTGAACAAGCACCCTAATTCGGCAAAATGAAGCAACACCCGCCCAGACACCGGAGTCTCCTGAAGTGAAGCCCCTGCGGTCAGTTGGGCAGGGCCTACCCGGGCCCCGCTCCTCACCACGGACTTGCCCCGGCCCTCGGCCGCTTCCCCGCAGGGGGGCT